AATCCAAATGGTTTGACACATGGAGCTCCTGAGGATGAAGTTCGCCATGCGGGTGACCTGGGAAACATAGTTGCTGACACCAACGGTAATTTCTTAGTACATTTTTAATCATTGATTTATTAACTTAAATTGGTAATCATTATATTTTGCTTCTTGAATCGTTGATGCAGGTGTGGCTGAAGCCACAATAGTGGACAATCAGGTTGTTCTCTCTACATCTCTACCTGAAGCAACTATTTCTGTTGCCGTGTTTGTTTGTCTCATCATAGTTATAGTCCATCAAAGGATTTATAATTCTTAAAGGGATATCTGTGGTTATATTTTGCAGATACCATTGAGTGGTCCTAATTCTGTTGTTGGAAGAGCTTTTGTGGTTCATGAGCTTGAGGATGACCTTGGAAAGGGTAAAATTTCTCGATCTTAATTTTAAAAGGATTATGAATGATACTCATTCTTCACCTGCAGTGTTCAAATTCTCTTTCTCCCTCACTACCTTTGGTTTTTCACATGCAGGTGGTCATGAACTTAGTCTAAGCACTGGCAATGCTGGTGGAAGATTGGCATGTGGTATGTGCCTTTTCATTTGGTGTAGTTTATGGTTTATTTGCATATACATATTCATCATTGTTCATTTCTACATGCATACCTAATTTAATTTATGACCTGCTGTTGTTGCTATGAGTAAAGCCTCAATATCAATGGTCCTCTAACCTCATTCATGCGTTCATTGAAAGGAGGGTTACATTTGATCATAAATTGTCCAAAGGATCTACCCTGAACTTGATTTATGGACAAATTCTATGTAGGAAGTAGTTGAGTGCATGTTATATCTCACTTTTTTCATTATGCTTGCTGCCAACTGTGGAGTTCATTGAGTGAGGATGTTTAACGAAAATAGTGTTTGTCATTTTTGGTTCTTGCAAGATTATTTTACAACTGCTTCGGTTAGGAATCACTTGAGAAGCCTAGGTAGAATTTCTTAATCTGCCTGTAATTAGAGGGTTTCCCAGTGGTTATAAGCCCACAAAATCAAGTCTCAACATAGAAATTTGGATGCAATTAGTGTGATTATAATTCACTGCTGTCAGAACCGATGTCCATGGTACCATCCAATATTTCCATCTAGGTGATTTTGCAAATGATCTTCTACTGGAAGTGTAGCCATACGCAAGTTGTTCAATACACAAAAGGGTCATAACTAGAAGGGTGCCTGATACTAATCGTACTACCACATTAGGAGCTCTAACCTTTAAACAACTTTTAAGGAAAGGATTTTCAAGTGGTTATAATTGTCAAGAAT